AGATCACGTCTTTCTAAAGCGCGTATTTTGGCGTTTAGTTTGGAGCAGAGGTACCGAATCGGTGCCATTTCTTCCAGAGAGTGACGTATAATCGGCCTAAATCTGAGAGACGGTGTTTGCAGTGATCGCAGTAATTGGCTCTTATTGTTCACCAACTCCTTGGTGTCCAACAGCGGCAACTCATTGCCATTATGAGGGATAGACCGATAGAATCGTTGACTTAGATCCTTTATAAGCTGTAAATTCTTGTCATTCTTAATGACTTCTTTGCCCAAATCGTTGATCAAAGCGAACGCCTCATTGATTGCCTTTTTGGACACCAAACCCAACGGCATTTGGTTGACATCTAATTGAAATGTATGGTCCAATGTGTGGGCGATATTCCGGTTGTCGATGATCTCCCGAATCATTGAATTCACTTTCAATTGGTCCGGGTCTTTGTCGGGGTCCTCTGTTTTGGGGTTAAATTTGAAAAATGTGGTCAAATCGGTCATCCATTCCAAGCAATTGATGTCAACGTATGAATAAAAGTGCGGGTTTTGTGTCCACTTATCCCTCTTATAGCGATTCTCCCACTCGTTGCGAGTCTTATCGCGAAACACATTACCAAAGGCCGCGATCGCATCGGTCTTGTCGTAGAAAGCGGTCTCCCATTCCCATGAGATGTCGGCCCCGATATCGCCCGACTCCTCATATAACTTAAACACGTTTTCTTTGTAATTGTGTTTAAAGAGCTGTAGCTTAAAGTAGGAGTTCCTGTGGCCGCATAGCTTGACATAACTGAGTACTGCACTCCGGGCGCCCCTATAGTCGCTGTAAATACTATAGTCGGTCCACAACTCATACTTCTTGTCCATAATCACGCCTTTGTTGGCGATTAATGTCGTTAAAAGTGGCTTTACTTGTCTCGACTGTCCCCTAACTTTATGCCACTGTTGGCTGAAGTTTACGTAGTTTTCCATGGCATCAGTCAGCGCCGGTGTGTAAACTCTGTCACCAATCTCTAACTCAACGTAATCCTTAAGAAATTGATACTTTTCTAACAACTGCTTCGGTATATCAATAGTGGCCTTCCGTTCGGGTTTATTGGTATAATAGTCGCACTCAAGGGTTTCAGTCAATGCTCCGTCTGTACAGACATAGGCACAAGAAGTCATGGCTAACTGTCCCGCGCGAGTGATCGCTGTATTGCATTGAGGACAGGGCGCCGGTACGCCAAATGTCATGGCGTCGGCCATTGCGTACACTTTGCACATCAAAGACCCTGTGCTTCGCAACCCGTTTTCAACGAGCAACTGATCCAAGTCTTGCACTTTCATTGTGACTAAGCTATCGAAGTGTGTGTACAGTATGTCTGACTGTGTCTTCAGATCTGCATCTTGTGTGCTATCATCCAATAGAAAGTGGTTTTGGTCTCCAGTAATATCTCTAATGATGGCCAACTGATCACAATATGCCAATCGCGCCAACCCTTCCACGTCCTCCACATTCAACTCGTTGTTATTGTCGTCGTTAGTATCCACGAAACACTTCCAATGATGCCATTCCTGTGGACGGCATGTCTTCTGGACGCGAATCACTCGATGATTGCCATCTGTTTTACTCATACATTGACCACAAATGTGGCATACGATGTGTCCATTGCCTTCATTCAGCTCATACTCCACCCGATACGGGCCCTCCCGGCGCAGGTATCCGGCCTTCTGTTCCCATATATCTGTCATTATATGCCACTCACGCACACACACACACACCTCCCGGCGCCCCACACTCGCCGTATATACTCAGTAGTATATCATCTATTCGTGTAAATTATATAAGAAATTTAATACATTGTATAGATTTTTAAATGAGCCAATGTGACCATGCATCTAATTGAATTGAATATATTAATATATCAGTGGTTGTTATTTAAAATTGAAATGCACACAAATGAATGCACAGGTACAATACACAAATGTATTTAATGTTGACTCAATGCATAAACAAAGTTTTATGGTTCTAAAAACTTTGATATTAGTATAGCCCTCTATGGCATACATTAACAAGTACATTTTTATTGGACAATTGACTGCACTGTAAGAATTGGCACTATTTTTGAACCAAATTCTTGTCATAAAAAATTTTGTGCATAAGTTTATAACTTTAATAGACTGTATTTAACTATAAAATGTATATTAAACTTGCTATAAAAGTCTCAGATTAATCCCTTAATTTAATTGTAATACAGTACCACAAAAGTTGGCTAAAGTTTGAATTAAGTATTTTCTATAGTCTCGTGATCTATAATAATTGCCTATTCATTTCAAATGATATCAAATTTAATTCAAACATCTTTTCACTTCTGTTTTGCCATTTAAATGATTTAATTAAAACAAAACTATGTACCGGTTGAGACAGTTTCTAAGCTATAATAAGCGGTTTGTGTGCATAAAACTAAATCAACTTATTTTAATAGCTTATCTTTACAATACAAATCAGATCCATACTATTGGCTGCCATTCCTCTGGTCACCCAATTCTGTTCAGTCCATCGCTTTAGACAACGATCTCTGTTAAGAAGTACTCATTTGATGCCAAAGTATATGAAAACCTATTTATTTTGAATGAATACTGAATTCAATTTATAATTCAATAATAACTGTTTGACTGAAGAATCGATGGAACCGTTCGTAGCTATTAAGCCCTTCTACCAGAAGTCCAATCCATATGAATACGACGGACCCAACAATATGTTGGGCTCCGGGTTTATAGTGGACGCGACGGGTCTGGTGTTTTTTTAAAAAGATTATTTTTTAAATAAAAAGTTATTCATTTATAAAATATAGTATACTAGTGTTGAAGATAATTATTAAGTTTAGTAATGTTATACATCACTATTTAGGGGGTTTTAAAAATTCTGGACAGGCCTGCTGTAGACCATAGACGCCCTTATATTGTTTACAGAAACCAACTAGTGATGTATGCATTTGTTATTTAAGCAGAGTATACACAACACTAGTATTTTAAAGTTTATAGGAAAAATACAAATTAATAATATTTAGATAAACCCCTTTAATATTTCTGTATGTTTTATACAAATGAATTCACTGAACTCTGCTTACACATGACTGTTATAATGTTAAACAGTAATGAACAGTCATATGCAAGCAGAGTTCATGGTCTCTTTCGTATAAATATTTTTCATTTAATACAACATCATTAACTGGATTTTAAAAAATTTGAACTTCTATGCTGTAGACAATATTTTATAATATTCTACTTATTTGCTAATATAATAAGTACTGGTATTATGAATATTAATTATTGCCAATAATTTATTGGTAATATGAGTTTTGAACAATTATAGTAACGTTAGCTATTTTTATTAATTCTTTAAAATCCAGTAATATTTTAACCTGATGAGTTATAATACTACTCGTTTACCTTAAATCTATGAATATTTTATGAATAATTGACTTTTGCATAAAATTAATAATTTGATAAAATAAAAATAAAATAGCTAACGTTACTATAATTGTTCAAAGCTCATATGATACATTACTTTTAATACTATATAAATCATAAGATATCAATATATTGATTTTGAAATGAATGCATTTTAATGGTTAATGGCATACACCTGAAACATAAACGTCAAGCGCATAAAATACGATTATTTAGTTTCCATAATATAAAAAGTCAATAAGTTATAATATATTATACAGTAATTAAAAGTAAATTCAAAAATATTATACATCTATCTAAGCGAGAATTACAATCTGAAATATCACTCAAATATCAAATCGTATTATATATTTGATTTGATTAAACAATATGCCGGTTAATCCGAACCTATACCCAGTCAATATTAACAAAGTAATACCCGGATCATTGGCCATCACTCATGCCGGCACTCACTTGTATAGCATCGGTCTCTCAAACCATAAGCCATTCAATGCTCCGAAGAGGCGAAAGCTGGACTCCGGTGCCATACCCACCGGCAACTGGTTTGGCAAAGGGGTTTACTTCTCGGACGTGGCCGCCAATAGTGTCGCCTATACTCACGGCAACTTCCATGTAATGCCCTTTTGGCTGATGTTATGCGAAGTGATTGTCGACAATCTGTACGTAAAAAATTAATTTCACATTTTACCGGTTTATACGATTTAATTGATTTCTATATTTTATGACATTTCAGTCCCACATATGATTTGTACGCAACTTTCAAAGCGCAATATTACGGCAATGGGTTCCCGGACGGCGTGTCGTGCGTCAAACTAGTGGGCAAGCGTGGCGTACCCCATCGGGAGTGGCGTACGGTCGCCAATAACCTAATGGTGCCAAACTGTGTGCCATTGCAAGTTAGAGACAAGTTTATTATGGCAAAGTTTGGTCAACTAGACCATTTGGTATTCGATGAATACCTGGTCAAAAATCCCGATTTTATCAATGTTAAGTACCTTATTAAATGCAAAATGGTTGAGCACCAAGTACCAAATGCTCAGCGTCGAATTGCTCATTCATAAATCTCCCCCCATTTCTTACCGTAGTCATTTATATTTCTATTATGATAGTGCGAATAAAATGATTGAGCAATTTATAAACATTTATTTTAATTAAATTGATTGCGTCGATTTATATATGTAATAGCTAATTTTAAAGTTTAGCATATTTTAATTGTAATGACTGCTCCATAATTATGTGAACCAAATAATTTTTAACGGAACTCATTTTGATTGTATTTATGAAAATTCACTTTATTTTATTATGTTTTACTCAAATGTGCCTTAACTTGAGTAGAATTTAATGAACAAATTGCGAGATTATTTTTATAGTGTAAATATATTTTTTGACAAAATAAAAAAGCCACAAAAATGTGAAAAACTGTACAACCTCATTTTATTAGTTCACCATTTCACTTAATAACTCGACATAAAATATGTTTTAATTATGATTTTATTTTTAAAACTATGTATTTATAAGAAAACAAACCATTTATGAATCAATTAATTTAACTAATTATCTATTAATTGCTTTCAAATCACTCTTAAACTGCCGTCTCTTGTGATACTTCTCGAGCCTCCGCTTGTCTTCCAACTCAATGTCTTCAATGGACTTCTGATTGCGTTCCGGAATATTCTTCCGGAGACTGTCGGCCATTGAATGTCCGACACTGAGGTCGTGAAGAATGCTTACCATCACATCCAGTGACAGAGACCTCGAGCCCGTCCTCCACAGGATGTGATCATCGATGGGAAGTCTCGCACTTCGGATGCCCTCCCGCTTGGCCTTCGTGTTCGTCAGGTCAGCGCCTGATGTCGGGCCCACACAACCGCCGATGATATAGATGTGGTCGGCGTTGAACTTCTGGAGGATTTGCTGGGAATGGGGCGACAAATACACGAGTCGTTCGCTGGGAAAGACATCCAGATATGACTTCTCGTGAAAAGTGGACACAAAATACGGCGACTTATAGTTCACCACATTTTTGGCGATCGACTGCATTGTCGGGCGCCGGGGGTCGCAGTTCGCGAAGTGTATGTCAAAGGGCTCGTCGCACCGGTACTTGTTGTGGTTGTAGAGCACCTGTATCTGCGCGGCGAGCGATCGGCAGTCCTTTAGCTTCAAGTGGTCGTCGAAACCCAAATCGATGACCACTTTGTGGCCGAATAGGGCGGCCCTCCGGAGCCGGTGTGCGAACAACCGCTTAATACTCTTGGGCTCTACTTTGCTGACAATACAGTTATGCCATAAGCCGTATAGGAGTTGCTGGTCGTCATCCCAGATGCCGGTGCGAGGGCTCCGACACTCGGCATACATCTCGCGTTTTTTGGCCCAAAACTCGCGCGAATTGTCGGCCCGTCTTCGCTGTCTGACCTCTAAAGACAACTCCTTTCGCAACAGATATCGGAACCAATTCTTGCGGTCTTCGGCCGACTCGAGAGCCATAAGGTCTCGCATGTGGTCAGTGGTGAGACTCGTGGGCACATCCAGTGTCACGTACTTCTCGTACTCGTACTCCGAGAGTATGGTCTGAATTGATTGTCTCGTCGTCTCGGAGGTGACCAATGAGGCGAAGGTGTCGACTGTCATGTCTTTGAACTCCCGGTCCGCGTAGTGGTAGTCCTCGTCCTGTCCATCGGTGTCTGAAGTGATGGTAAATCAGTTGATCATATGGTTGGACACTATCGTGGATTCAATTGATACCTGAATTAGTGTTCATTGAATTGCATCTGATTTGCGGACAAAAGTGTCTGAAGAAGTGGTTAAAAGTTAGCAAACTTTTTGTCCACTTATTGATCGTTGATATCATGGTATGTATGGTTGTGACAGACTAGTGGTTTACGTGATTGTCAGTGATAATGATCAAGCTACAACATGATTTAATTAAAGTTTGTAAACACAATAGCTTCACACATGTCATTTGAAAAGTTTGTTTACTGTTTGCAATGAATTTCAATGTCATGTCAAATGTGTGGTAGAGATGGCACTCACACACCATTAAACTGTCCAAATTGTATTCAATGATAAATGATCCAGTTCAATTTATGGGAAAACTTCAAAACTTTTGAGTCATTAGCATTTGAAATTATATGTAATTTAATAGCTTTAAAATAGAAATTAAATTCATTGAAATTATAATTATTTTTATTATGTTTATAATTAATTTTTAACAAATTTTTTTATAATTAGTAAACTAGCAACAATTTTGAAACTTAAAATAAATGTTTAGAATTAACTCGCTCAATAAAATACTGAATGTGAATATATTGTGTTTAATATACAAGCAACTACACGAATAAAATAATTTTGTTAAAAGTATTTGTTTTGAATAATTTATTAACTTATTATAAACTATTTTAATTGCAATTTAAATAAAAATCCAATAATTGAATGAATAAATTGACGGTAATTTATACGTAAAACTCAGGAAATACTAATAAGTATGATATTTGTGTAGTATATTTATATTTCAACAAAGTAATAGTTTAAATAAGTTTTATTACATTTTAATGAATAATTTAAATGCAAATGAAATATAAGCCCTAAATAATGTCTCCGATAATAAAGTATAAAGTTTTTTGTTGTTGTATTTGTTTTAGACGCGGACCTAAATTAATGGCTAATTTTTTATGGGTTTATATTAAAACGTTAATTTGAATCCAAAATTATGGACTCAAACTGCTATAAAATACGGCTTAAAGTTTGTTTGCATTTATTATGTAAAATTGTTTTTATATCCACTTTACGCCAAAAAACAAACACAACTATTGCCTAATGAATGGCATTTTGAAGGCATAGACACAACACACACCACAAGACATACCATTCCTTATGTCATACCATTGCCTGCCATTGAAGTTGAAGTTCAGGTCTCATGCGTTTGAAGTTCAAGTTTATGGCATTAAAACTAATTGTTTCTCTAAATCAAAGCCATTATTCAATCATTTACTCGGGATTTCACAATAGATATGCCGAGAGAGAGAGAGAGAGAGAGAGAGCCGGAGAGCCAAAAATAAAATGCATTTTTTAATACTTCATGTGTTTCTCGAGTTTCGAAATATAGTTTAAAACAATTAAAACACGTTTTTTAGTTAATCGTAAAAAGCAATTTAATTATCATTTAGGCTCTCATTGAATGAAAATTTAATTTTCTATGCATTTCTATGGGAAAGACAGTGAATGGAAAATAATAACAAAAACATAATAATAATCCCTTTAGTTTTTTAATACCCCATCCCATGACATCCTATGCCCATATAAACAGTGATAAACTTATTAAAATGGAAAGTGATTTAAATTGCGCTTATATATAATAATTGTATTATTTATGACATCGTATTTGTGTCTAATCTTTGAGCCCCAGAAATAGATAACAAGCAACACATGGACTGCCAGTCCCTCTGGCCGTAACTCCAACTCATTGTCTCAAAGCTCTTAAAAAGTAATTAATTGTTTCCTTTGAGAACCTCCGGAGTCAAAGACAATGTGTTTTCATTACATAAACACTAAAAAACTAATAGAAGAGGACTCGGAGTGCAAGGAATTGAATGGAAATGAATGAATGGGAAGACTGTTTCACCAAAAATGAAAGATTGGTGTAACCGATGGCTATAAAGACAAGAGCGATGACACCGTTATTATATGAGACATTGAGATGAGAGAGAGAGAGAGAGAGAGCCATATCATCATGGAATCAGTGACTCTAATGTTGACATAACTTTAAGATGAAATGACTGGTGATGTCGTGCAGACATATAATTCAAGATCCAAACAATTATTGAAGTAAAAAGTTTCTGATAAATTTACTTCATCTCTCTCTCTCTCTCTCTCTCTCTCTCGTATTTATAGTCAAATTGATACTCTCTTGTGAATGGGACGCAAAATGGGTTTTGTCTTCAAAATAAGATTATTTTCAGTTACTATTTCGATAAGAATTTGTGATAAACTTTTAAATTGGTGTCACATTTTTGGCATTGAATTA